ATCTCTTTAGGATACAGCCCTAGAAGTGCTATTGGTGGGTCAAAGGGTATGCACGTTTTTATAGCCCTTTGGGCATAGTTCCAAAATGCTCTCCACAATGGTTGGATCATTTCACAACTCCACCAACAATGCATCAGTGATCCAATTTTCCCACATCTTCTCCAACATTTATCATTTTCCTGTTTTGTCATGTTGGCCAGTCTGATAGGTGTGATGTGGTACCTCAGAGTTGTTTTGATTTGTATTTCCATGAAGTGTATTAGTATACCTTTTTTCCCCATAGCTCATCCAATACTGGTTATTTGCATTTTGTAATCATCATTGTAATTTTTCTGCACTTAAAGTGAAATCTAAGAATTATATTTTATATTTCTCTTATTGGTTACTAGAATATTTTTCCATAGTTATTTTCATTTTTCATTTCCTATGACAGTGTATTTTTGTTAACAATTGGTCCTTCTTGAGGACGAAGGAGGAACAACAGCAACTACTGTTGTGTGGAACTCACCCAGGATGAAAATGTACTCATGAAACAAAGCAAAAATAAAAATTTCCCTAAATATGTATACTTTACTAAGACATTTCCCAGCACTCTATTCTTTCATCTCTATTTTCAGATTAATTTTTTTTTCTTTGCGAGGCAATTGGGGTTAAGTGACTTGCTCAGAGGCACACAACTACTAAGTGTTATGTGTCTGAAGCCGGATTTGAACTCAGGTCCTCCTGACTCCAGGGCCGGTGCTCTATCCACTGTACCACCTAGTTGCCCCTAGAGTGATTTTTTGAAAAACATTAGATTCCTTATTTTGTTACTGCCAGTAGTTTCTGCATTGTGTATAAAGTATTCTTTACCTTACTTTCAAATCTTTACACAATCTATTTGCTTCATATTTATCTCATCTTTCCCCAGAACACATTCATGTGTTTAAAACTAGTGTCATCATAGCTCTACACTATAAGTATATTACATTGATTTTTGTGTATCCCTCTCCTTCCATTGTTTACTCTCCTTAACTATACAGTTTATTTAGGGCCAAAACAGATCATGTCTTTTGTGAAGGATTATTACAGTAGTTCCCAATCTTGCCCATCACTGGGCTACTGTCACACTTATTTTTATAATGTAGTACAATACTTAGCTGTTCTTTTATGTTTTTATATGTGTCTCTCCAAATAACTTATTGAAACAAAAGATTATGACTTTTTAGTTCCTTACTATTTTACATTACACTGTATGAATTTGAGGTAAATATTCTTTAAATCCCCTGTATTGATTTTAAACCCTTTTTTTCTTGTTCTTCAGTGGTTATCTAGAATAGGTTACAGTCTCCATCCCTACAATAAATAGAAGAGTTGCTTCATAGATTTCCCATACTCTCATTTATCCATATCAGCACTGTATAAATGTTTATCTATAACAAAAGTATACACACATTTATTTATGCATATATAATATGTAGTTCTAGAAAATAAATTTAGAATAAGCAAAAATGTAGGTGTGGAATTCACTGGTGGTATTGTAACAATTTCATGTACAAATTTCTCGAACATTAAGAGAGACAATAATCAAGTATACTTTTTTTTTAACACAAAAGACTGTTTTATGGGTTTTCTTGTAAAAATAAATATAAGATATAATGTACATAGATAGTGAAGTATATGTACTACATATAGCTTAATAAAATGTACTGAAGTAATATTTTTTAAATTGCTATATAGTAAGATTAGTAGTCCTTTGTGGCCTCTAAATTTTTTTTTCAAGTGACTTCTATCCACTCCCTATTCCCAGCACACCAGTTCTTACTGTAGTATCTTTTTTTTTTTTGTGAGGCAGTTGGAGCTAAGTGACTTTCCCAGTGTCACAGCTAGTGAGTATCATGTGTCTGACACTGGATTTGAACTCGGGTTCTCCTGACTCCAGGGCCAGTGCTCTATCCACCTCATTGCCCCTGTAGTATCCTTTTAATAGTACAAATGTACCTTAGGAGAGAGATTGAAAAATAAACAAAAGTATAAATGTGGAACTAGCTGATGATATTCTATTTGAGGTATAACTATTTTCAGTTATAAATGTATTTTAAGATTAATTCATGTAGGAGAGAGACTAAGGAAGTATACTTTGTTTTCATAAGGACTGTGCAAATAAGGATTTGTAAAATTTTTGGAAGGATTACCAGAATTCTTACCAAATGCAATTTTGAGATCAAAATTATTGCTCTTAGGTTGATAGTCTTTGTTAAATTAGTTGTATTTTAAAAGACTTGCATGTGAGTTAGTTTCATCTTTGTAACTAGTATTTGTAATATGTGATTTTCATGGATAAGGAAATGTTTCATTTGGACAAAATTGCTGTGCAGTTTGTCATAGTGCAAAAATCCTTTCTCAGATACTTTTATTCCACGAAACCATTTTTAAAAACCACCAAATATAACATTTTGCATGATTGAATGTGTGTGTGTGAGACCTATATCAAATTGCTTACTCCCTCAGGGAGGAGGGGTGAAGTGAGGGAGGGAGAGAAAATTTGGAATTTTGGTTTTAAAAATGAATGTTAAAAATTGTCTTTACATGTAACTAGGAAAAAAAAACTACCAAGTATGGTAGAATTTCCTTTGGTTATCTCTAAATTTGTGGTTCCTTCATGTATATTCATTAAATTATGAATTTCTGACCTAAGTTTTCTCATTCTGGATTTTTTAAAAGTGTTTGGTTTTTTGTTTTTTTTTTTAATATCAAGACCATTTTTGTAAATCCTGTAGTTATTTTTTCAAGAAATCACCACTGGAATTAGATGCAGTAGTGGCCCTTTAGAATTTTAGAATTCATGAATCTGTACTTAGAAAACTCTAAATCTTTTATAATTTGTTGTAAACTCGTCAAAATTGAAGGTACATAAAAGGCAAACTAAATGAACTCAAGATCTTAGTTCTGACAAATAAGAGATACTTATTTTCCTTAAAATATTTGTTATAACATTAATCTGTAAGGTTGTGGCTTTATGAACTTATTGATACTTGATGACATTGAAAACCAGACATTCCTATATATCATGAGGAATTAGGATTACATAGCACAATAAATATTTGGATGAAATAAATTTTGCTGGAGAAGCAATGTAGTGTGTTGGGTAGTGGCCAGGTTTGTACTCAGGAAGACAGACTCTTTGTACTCAGGACAGACTATGAGCAAGTCATTTAGTTGCTCCCTGGTTACTTTTCAGACTCAAGGCTATAGAACTCTTAAATTTCTATCTCCTTCCTGTCTTACCTCTGAAACATCTAAAACAGACTTTTCTTGACTTCTGGGCCAAGGGAATTACACTTGCATAATCCCACCACAGTGGGGGGAGAGTTGTAAACTATGCACAGTTTTGTATACCACCTTGATTTGATGTTGGTGTAGTATTTATGGTTTTCACTAAGTGGGAGGTAGCTTATTTACCATAAATTTCCTTCCTTCCTTCTTTCCTCTTCTTTCTTTCTCTCTTCTTTCCCCTCAAATAAATGGTTTTCCATATCTTAATGATGGCAGGTTTGGCTTAAAAAGATGGTTAGAGCCAACTGTCCTCTTTAATTTGAAGGAAGATTTATACTATGCTAAGTATATTCTAACTGTTTTTGTTTTGGTTCACCTCTGGGGTAAATTTAGGACTTTATCAGCACATTAAAACGTTTTGTTTTCCTTGTCCTTGTTCAAAAATTTTTCATTGTTTAGCACATAGTGGAAATATGGAAGGCTTTGCTGTACTTTAAGATTATGCCTCCATAAAAAACAAGTATTTCAGTTAATTTGTGGCACTATATAAAGTTTCTCCTTTTTTTTGTTGTTGAAACCCCCTAGAGACATTGACAAATGAAATTAACTGTTTTTGTTCTTCCATTCTTCTAGGATTGTCAGTAATAAGCTTCATATTCATATAATCT